GCGCCCCTTCGACGCCTGGAATGGGCAAGTCAACTGTTGCGGCTAATACCGTGGAAGCGACAGCCAACATTCACACTCATGCCACGGGTGGAAAGGGTAAGAGTCGGGATAGCGTCACTAGTATTGAAGGTATTAACAAGACTTTATCCAAGAGTCTTGAGAGTAGGCGTAGCAGTACGGGCTCCAAGAAAGCCCTGCCGTTTCAGCTTGGGGGCACGGCTTTGTTGAAGAATAGTGCTTTGGCTAGCGAGACCAACTCACTCCGAGCGCATCCCACCGACACACCATCCGGCACAAGCCCTACGCACGGGGGGCTCCTCACGGCAGCCAATGCGAGCCTAACACAGAAAGTTTTGGCAGAAAGGCAAAAGAGCGAGCAAACGGAGAGTCCGAGCAAGTCTCCTTCTGGCGAGTCATCAAACCAAGGCGGCAGCGCCAAAGCGGACGAGGTACGAAACGTCGACACCCTTCTTGGACCATAATGATGGGTTGCTGACGGCCAGTTAGCAGCCCTGGAAAGCTGTGCAACGGGAGGATTCGGCTGAGAGTCCGACGAAAAAGTCTGTTGTTTGGGATTCTCTGTGGAGTGTTGACTATAATTATGAGAGTGCAGGTAGAAAGTAGTTGAAGTTTGGTGGCTCGTGTATGTGCTCGTACAGGGCCAATTCTTCTTGCGTTTAGGAAGTCTTTACTCTGGGAAACGATGGGCGTTATTCACTTGTTTGGCGCATGAGCAGTATGTGGAAAGAAAGGGAATAGAGTTCAGGAGCCTTTCGGATGGACAGCTAGGATGGGAAATGGAGATTTGTTTACGGATTACAGGGTGAGACGCAAAGGGAAAGGCCATGATTCCCTTTTGTGCTATGTTTCAATTCACTGCATTAGACACTCACGCCTCTGTCACATAAGGTTCACGTTATATTTAGAGTTGTCAGAAGGTGTTTGGGGGAGGCAAGAAAACTTCTAATTCATATACCAAATGGCAAAGAGATATAGGTGAAGACTACTTAGACAGTGAACGTTTAGATTAGTTCTTTTTCTTTCTTGGCATTAATCCCTGGTAAGAAGTTTTCTTGTATTCATAAGGCTATATATCTTGCTTTATCAAACTATCTGCACAAAAGCAACTACCTAGCCAACTAAGGTCTGTTTAACTGATCAAACCAAATAGAGAAGGGGGTTTTCGCGAGAACTCTGGGTTCTTGGCAGGGGTATCTGGCGACTATGGTTAGGCGTCAAGTCCTGATAGGGGGAAGCAATGAGATTGGGACAGTGTACGGAGTATACGAGACATATACGAGAAATAATCATTGGGAGTCTTGGATGGAAAAGATGGAGTCTTCAGGACCATTACGGCTCCGTCTCTGAGTCATACTGCATGACAAAATGGATCTGGCCGCCGGGCTGGAGACACTCCTTCAACCAATAGATATATGTTGGGAATCCCACGAGTTCTTCGTCTGGATCATCATCGCTTTCATCGCTTTCGTCGCTGTCTTCTGAGTGACTTTTGACGACAGTACTTGGGACATACTCCTGGCTCTCGAGGGTTTTAACCCAAAAGTCCTTGCCCAACTTACAGTATTGCTGTCGTACCGGAAGGCCAAGAACAACGAGTGTTTTGAGTTTCAAATGTATTCCCATCTGAACACAAAAGGACTTGAGTGCCACGTTTGGACCATCGGTCCAGGGTCCTGAAAGATCAAGACAAAGGCTCTCGAGGCCAGTCATCAAAGACCAGTCCAGCTTAAGAAGAGCTAGACGATCCGCTTCCCGTCTGCTAAACAAGACGTGGTGGAATGCAATGTGCATGCCAGCATCCATATTATGAGAGACTTGAGAGATAAGATACTCATGTACTTTCATGTCTTCGAGTTCTCCATCCTCTAATACCCATGGAGAAGTTAGAATCATGACGTGACCTCGTCGTTGGCACGCGAGACGATCGTCATTTGCATGCAGCTTCCTAACATAGGCATTACGGTTAGGGCCATCAACTCCACCATAGGTATCGATGGCGAAGGGAATATCATCCATGATATTACCGGTGAGGACAAGGAGGTTCCCGGCCTCACGGCGAAATGCTCCGAGATCTAGATTCCCGTTGTTGTGTCGACTCCAGAGGGCTCGCATTGCCTCAACAAGATCGGGGTTGAGATATCTATCGTAAACATGAAGTTGATGTAGTAGTCGATATTTTTCGAGAGCCTGCTTCCAGCTCAAGTTTTTGGATGTCAGAAAGTCGATCTCGCCGTCGACAACGGGTGTCTTGTAGATACATTTGTGTCGGAGGGGGATACTTTCGATCTGCCCCTGTCCAAACACCCCATCGCGATCCAGCTGACCTCGAGTGTAGATGACGGTATAGTAGTCACCGGAATTGTCACCGCAGACAGATAGACCCTCGGTGAGTAAATTGATCTAGCACTCACTCTTTTGGGTGGTCTCGGTGAGGATTTTCATGATAATCTCGTTAGGGAGTGTAGGTAACTTGGGTGCGCCCGCGGCATCCTGAGTGTTAGTCAGAGGAGTCATGATTGCGTTTGTAGGATGATTGTTTGATCCAGGAGTTCAAGAATTGCAAATTGACTTCGAGGAAGAGATTGATGATGTTGTCAAGAAAGGTTAGGGTTTGGAACTGGGAAGAGAAACCGGCAAGGTCGCTATGTGGTTGATACATGACTGTTCACATGTTCATGGAGTTGTGCCAGTGTCATTGACTTTATACTAGGTATGTCATTGCTACTGGGATCGAAGGGGGGAGACTGTTCGCCCGCTCAGTCCAGGCCAAATACCTTAGGAATCAGTCTGTCGCGTCAAGCACCTGAAGGGTGTAAGTGAGGTTGTCGTAGATGCCAGCTTCTGATTGGTGTTCGTAAAGTCGAGCTTATCTGCTAGGGCCGTGATGTGAGATAAGGTATATGCATACCATTAAGTTAAAACCTCCGAATTGTAAGTCTGTTCAACAACTGCTTCCCATGCTCAACACGTAAGTTTAACCGCTTTCATCAATCGGCAGTCATGTCTTTAGAGATGCGCCAAGGCTTGCAGCGCTCATTACCTCCCGAGCTGCTCTATAATGTTATAGAGGCTGTCTTGCCTTCAAATCCACTGGCATTAATCCCAGCGTCACATGCTTCGACAAAGACTTTACTTTCTCTGACACTGGTTTCGCGCGATACATACAAGTTGGCTATTCGGCTGCTTCGAGAGCGATGCCTCTATATTGACACTAGTCGACGCCTTGCGCAGCTGTTGCTCTGTCTTCCTCACTCTGTACCAACCCTCCCGCCTATACTGCCACTGCGGAATATCACATCACTCTATCTAGCCCCATTCAAGGACAAATTGGACGACCAACCCACAGCAGCTTGGGTGCGGGAGCTCTTCTGCGAAGTATGCTGTACACTGCGAAGGCTGATTGTCCACATGCCATTCCAGAGTTTGGATCCACTGGATGACCACTTGAATGTCAGGAGGACTCTTCGCGAGGGTTTCGAACGGCTTGATAAACTAGAGGAATTTGTCTGCCTTGGCGATTACCCGGCACTGAGCCTCCAAGATGCTCCGACCGACGTCTGGGGTCTGTGGCCGGATCTCAAACGCCTTACAATATTTGGGGCACCACTTGATAATCATTGGCTGTGGTGGTACATCGCGACGCAGCAGAAGATTGAGCATGTCATCCTCGCTCGACCAGTGAATGTCGAGGCAGCCAACATCAAGGAGGAGTATTTTCACAAATTACCACGAGATGACATACGTTTAGACCGGGATATCAAAATCACCCTTTTAGACGCGGCCTTTGTGTGGAGGGGCGTCAAAACATCGCGTTGGAAGGAATTCGATCCGAAGGAACGGATGACAGTTGAGCTGTATGATGTGCCAACATCGTTCTATGGCGATGAGACGCCTAGGGAGCTTGTGACTACATGGGTGAGGCGGGGTGCCTTGGACGGGAGTTTGTGGGACTGGGAGGGTGAAATTGTTAAGGAGACTGCAACCGATATTGCATGATGTATTTGTTCTTCGATACCCGATGTTTCCATTATCAATCATATTGATGTTGTAGTAAGTCTTTGTTTCCGTTCATTCTCATGCTTATCACTTAGCCTTCATCTTGGATCGACTGACTGTCATAATTGTAGTACTTGAGCGGATGAATACATGACAAATTGAAAATCGTCCAGAGAAACCGTATTCGAGTTCGGCAGATAATTAAAATCGAACTCAAGGTCAAGTTTATTATTCGGCTGAAAACAAAACCCCGCAAAGTCCAACCCCAGTCGTGAAAGTTACGGATGCATCGGAAACGCAGCTCAAACATCCATCAATTCCATGGGACGGGAGGGCTCCCGGGTAGCTTATACAGCCTGAAAGGTATTGGTGGTCAGCAGCCCACAAGATTGGGGGTTCAGAGCCAAATCCCACTGAAAGCTGTCCCCAATGCCCGGGCTGCCCTGCCTCTCCCCAGGCGGGGTTATGGGCATGTTCAGGGGGGTACCTACCCGGTTCACCTGCCCGAATGGGGTAGAAATTTTTAAGGTGGAGCATGCTCCGGCTTCGCTTTCTTCCAGAAAACCCGCCATAACGCCAAAAATCCCCGTGTTTCCCCCGGCCGTTGAGTCTGCGGTTAGCGGATGTGGATTGTTTCTCCATAAGCTTTCCTACAAACGCTCAAGAGAACAGACCATCTCGGTTTCTGTTACATACTCACTCTCCGTGCGCTCTTTCGAAGTCTCGCGATCCGAAAAACCTCCAGATTTTGTTCCTCCACTGTCATGTCGCCCACCGAGAGCTAATACATTCCCGACCAAGAAAGAAAAAAGCTTCTATCGCGAAATCGCCGTCCACACAAGACATGCTCGCAAGCCACACCCTGTTGTGACCGTTTGACCGTTTGACCGTTTGACCGTTTAATCTGTCCGACACGAGCGTTCCTCTCTCCCCCGGACTCTCAATCCCGATCCTTCCGAACCCTTTGTCGGCCACTGTTGAAAATGCCCGAGAAGTCGGCCTCAGTAGTGTCCTACGCTGCTGGTGCCTCTCTCGCTGCCGCAGCGCTCATATATGTCTTCGCACCAAACTTCTCCATCGACCACGACGCCACGAGCTCCAAGAAAAAGTCTATAGTCGGTTTGAGAAACCAAGCCAATGACTGCTTTATCAACTCGGTCCTCCAAGCCCTTGCCGGCTTAGGAGAGTTGCGCATATATCTGATTCGCGAAACGCACCGCCGTCGTATCGAAGATCCGGCAGTATATGCTAGTCTTGTCCAGCCCGAGGGTAAGGAGATTGCCCAATGGAAGCTACAGGGTCTGCAAGAAGGACTAGTCACACAAGGACTGAAAGAGATGCTGGATGCGCTTAATGAGCGCCCCATCTACAAGAAGTCCATATCCCCGTTCCAGTTTGTCAAGGTTCTGGAGGCGGCTTTCAAGCAAAGGATCAGCCGCCAACAACAAGATGCGCAAGAGTTTCTCCAAATCGTTGCTGAGCGCCTCAAGGACGAGTATCACTGCGGTCAACGAGCAAGACTACACATGCGGAGGCGGGGCCTGTTTCCTACGCAAAGTACACCGAGCGTCGAGAACACGCTGGATACCCAAGATAATGGTAAGGACGGCGGCGAGTCCTCACCAGAGCAGCAGCCCACTACCAATGGCGACAACGACTCTGCTATCGAGCCATCCGAGCAAACCGAAATTCCCCAGGACAATGGCCAATTGCCCATAGAAATTGAAGAGGGCTTCCCAATGGAAGGAAAGTATGAGTCGCATCTCGAGTGTCAGACCTGTCGCTACAAGACTAAGCCCAGGGAAGAGACCTTCTGCACTATAACTTTGGCTGTGCCTCAGGTCTCAGGCACGACGTTGAATGCATGCTTTGACGGCATCTTCAAAACCGAGTACATTGACGACTTCAAATGTGAAATGTGTCGATTGATGCAGACAAAGGCAGATTTAGAGGCCGAGATGGCCAAGTCCACGTCCGAGAGTTTCAAGGCGCAAGCCCAAGAAAGCATCGACAAGCTCCAGCATGCCATTGACACAGATCCCGAGAATCCCCCGGATGATGTCGAGCTTGGCGATATTCGCTTCGCTCCCAAGAGGAGGATCGCAAAGACCACTCGAATGTCCATATTTCCAAAGATATTGGCTATTCACCTCTCACGCTCGATTTATGATGTGGGCCAAATGACACAGAAGAACTCGGCCAAGGTGGTCTTCCCCGAACAGCTGCCTCTCGGTGGTTTGATGGATCAAAGGAAATATAAGCTGCTCGGGCTGGTTACTCACCGTGGCGGACACAACAGTGGCCATTACGAAGCATTCCGACGACAGAATGTTGCCGCACCCTTCTCAAACCCGAACACTTTCCAACCATCGGAAGCTTTTAGCAAAACACCGACACCCATAGGCACCCCTATTATGGGAGGAAGACCGACGCACAGCCCGGCAATCTCTACACCGGACCTCCTCTCAGGCTCGTCTGGTGACTCGACGCCTTCTCTAGAATCACTACCGGTTCCGCCTAGGAGTGTCCCTTCAGACCTACGAGGGTCGGTAAGCTTGCCAGCGATTGGCAAACAGAAGGACGCGGAAACCAGCAGTCTTCGTTCTGTGGCCGCCTCTACAAAGTCAGCTCTCTCCAAGCTTACATCTCCCAAGCAAACAAATAGCAGTTCATCACCACCCAAGTCTGTGACATCAAACGTCGCAAAACGATCAAGGAAACGAAAGTCGGCAACAGACAAATGGTGGCGTGTCAACGACGAAAAGGTCAAGGAGGCAAAGACTAGCGAAGTCTTGGGCATGCAGAGAGAGGTGTATCTGCTATTTTACGAGCTCGATAAAGATGCTTAGGATGCTGATGAGGTTTATCCAGTGCGTGAAGATGCAGGACGGTGTGTGATACTCTGATGTGCCAATTCTGTTACGCTTTACAGAGTTGATGTAAGGGGGGCTATTTTTCCTTCTCTCCTAACTATTTGCATAGGGTTGGCGTTTCAAGCAAGACAGTTTCAGGATTATCCATACAGTTAGATTCCATGGTGCTTTTTAACAGTTTTTATTTTATTTTTAAAAAGTACCTAGCATTGGATACATGGGAGTTGATGAGGAAAGAAGGTCATGCATAAGGGAGATAGAGGCTATCATTCTTATCAATGGCAGTGGTGAATACACAATTAACAGATAACAAACATATTGGAGTCAGAGATTGCTTGTTCCTCGTGTTGCATGCTGCCCAAGTAGAGTTTGCAACCAATATCTGATATCTGGCTATTTCTATTACATCTTAGCTTCTAACCTCCCAATTGTATCTACAATCGTATCCAAAACGATATTGCTTTCATGTCTAGTGGCCAATCACAGTTCTACAGTGAATGAGTCAGCATAATATGCAACAGCTAATAGATTGGGGATGACGACTTTACCAACCTCATTGATCGTGTTCCCTGTTTACACTTCCCTTTATACACTTTTATCCTTTTTCAAGAGAGCATTTATATTTATAAGGTGGTCTCCGTCTCGCATAACCACAGACTCAGAATCTTATACCCTGGGGTTGAACTTGAGGCTGCGGGTTTTCGCGACAAGGGAGCAGCATCGCCAATCCTTCGCTTGGGCCCAAAAGCAGCAACAGGCGAATACCTCAACCCATATGGGAGGCCTAATATCCTGAATCAAGATCTTTTTTCCTTCCTTCCTTCTTTCTTTCCACATTAGAATGTTGAGCCAGAGAAGGAATTGTATAATCGTTTCATTGGTTCCTGTTGAGATTAGGCGCCGCCAGACAAATCTCATAACTCAGACGCCTTTTCCATCTCTCATATAACATAATTATCTCAGCCGCGATGGTGGTCATTTCTCGACGCACGAGACGTCGCCTACGGTCCATCTTCATTCTTATCCTCATTTCTGCCTTTGTCATTTATTCTATCCTTCCTCACGATTCAGCCGTCCGCCTGGCCTTTGTCTTCAACATCTCGCGCTTCTTTAATTTTCTGCGTGGCGCAGCAACAAACCGAGACGCTTGGTTATGGAAATCGCCACGGTATGTCGTAGATCTCAAGAACGAAGTGGGCTACCTCATCAAAACTGGGTATGGAACGCGTCACCGAGTGCCTGAGCAGCTCGCTGCCTTTGAGGCAACAGGGGGTTTCTTAGGAAAAGAAGGCGAGAGTTTCCTAGTTGTAGGAGATTGGACGACAGTGAATCAGACAGATGCAAGGCTGATAGGCGTGACGGTGCACGATGCTATCAAGAGAGTTATGGAGACCAAAATCAGGGGCAAGGTGGATGATTACCCCAGGCTGGTAAAGTACTCAACTCTCCAGGCAAAGCTCCAAGCAGGAGACGAAGAAGAAGCTCTGAAGATTGGGCAAAGCTATGGCTGGGAACTCGATGCGCTAAAAGTTTGTCTTTCCAACAACTTCCCTCCGCATGGCTAACAGAGGCAGTTTATCATGGGCATGGAGATGATATATCATCAGTTGCCAGGCAAAAAGTGGTACATCATCTTAGATGACGACACTTTCTTGATACGACCTTCACTGGAGCTACTCATGGGCCACGTTGACTACCGCAAGCCCCAGTATATTGGTAACGCAGTAGGTGATTACAAGGCGCGTTTTGGGCACGGAGGATCTGGAATCCTGATATCCGGAGAGGCGATGCGCCGTTTGTTCGAACACCCGGGCATCGTACAAGAAGCATACGTCGAGTCCATGACCGAGACATGGGGAGATCGACTGGTGGCGACGACACTCCAGAAGCTAGGCATATACATCGAAGAGTCGTATAATCATCACTTCAATGGTGAACCTCCTTCCATCACGCGCATCTGGGGTGATCGTTTCTGCTCGCCACTACTCTCCTTCCACGGCTTGCGGAAGCCCGGCGAGATGCGCCGTGTCGGGGAGACACTCGCAAAAATAGACAAGCCAGTGTTATGGCACGACGTTTGGCAGTTGTTTGGAGGCTCAGCTATGTCGGCGCTTGGGAGCCGCCCAACAGAGCTAACAGCGGATCATGTGGGCAAGCCGGACGAGCACACCCGCTCATGGGGTGATGTGAGGAGTGCCAATGCTTGTCAGAAGCGATGTGAACAGAGTGGACGACGCTGCTTGGCATGGACATATGAGATGGAGATTGAAAGATGTCACACGAGTCCTTGGCTACTGCTGGGGGCGGACGGCGCTACAGGTAAGGCATCGGGCGTGAACTGGCCCGAGGTGAAGCCATTGCTCAAAGGCTGCAGATAAATGAGGAGACATCATCCTCTGCCAGCAAGTAAGAGAAATCGAGTTCGTGTTGGCTCAGCCTAAGATTCTGCTTTGCTGTCCAAATTCGAACTGCTTCTGAGGACTCGTCATTGGTGCGAGTTGTCTGGCAGCACCACGCTATTGCTCGGGGCTTTTCCCCGGCCGAATATGTATCATATCATGTACTGTATCATGTATCATATGCACATTGGACCCCCCCTTTAGCCTCAAATATATGTTCCACTCAGTGAACGGAGTAAGGAAGAAAGCAACAGAAGCCTCATTGGAACGCCTCCGAGGACTAGCGACCCAAGAGCCGACCGCTATTGTAACTGACAACCGGTGTGGAGAGAAAAAACTGGACCGTGGATACCGCTACAGCTCCTCTGCACATGGAGGTAGGGAGGGAGGGAG